ATATGGGGGTGCTGCTGGCTTCGGCGCGTGATCCTGCGAAAAGGTTGCCCGGGCAATTGAGTGTGAAAATTTTGTAGGCATAAGCGGAGGCACCAAGAGGTTGGCTAATGCACGAGCAGGCACTCAACTGCCGTGTCGATGCCACCCTGGTATCCCAGGAAGACCGAGCCCAAGCCCGGCCAGAAGTTCCACCTGACAGCTTATGAGCCAGGTCAAAGGACTGCCAGGTGGCAGGAATATGACGCAGAGATTGAACCTGAAGCTGAAGCTGAAGCTGAGGCGCGGCCATGGCCGGGGCAAGGGCACAAACAGGCGACGAAGCCGTCGACAAGTCAATAAATATATATGCTACCAGATATATGTATATATTCATGGGCGACATGTGCTCGAAACCGAAATCCGTAATGGGGCGGGGGGAAGGAAAAGGCCTGGGCTTAATCACGTGGCGACGGCACTCGTATGTAGCTTGTTACGTCTAATGTCGAGGGTCCTGCCAGACGTCAGAGCATTGACATTGATTTGTTTTTCGTCTTGATGAGTCCGCTCCGCGTCTCCGCTTCTCTGCATCTCACTTATTTCGGGGATTGTAATACGCTTTTGATTCGCCCGAAATTCCATTTTTCACAATTTAATGCGCATTTCGCTACGTGTTGTCGTCACCGGGGGCCATCTGGAACGTGCCCGGAGCCACTGGGCCCCGGAAGGCACGCAGGCCGGGCTCCGTCTGGGTACTCCGGCCCACATCTATCATAGTCCGGGCATTTGTCACGTGAGGGACAACGTGATTTCATTTTCCTGTCGCCATAAAGGTGACACATTGCATTCTTCGTCCTGCTCCATTTGTTGTGTATTAGTCTAAGTGCGAGTGCTTTTCCTCTCTTGTTTTGGTTTCTTTTTCTGCTTCTGCAACTCTGTTTATATTTCCGTTTTGGATCTTTTGTTGCCTTAAATGATCTTGCTCAAAGTGTGTGTGGCACTTGGAATTTATTCAGCGGTCGAGCGAGAAGCTTTCCATTGATTTTCATGGCACAGGCTGGCTAACATGTTGTTAAACCGCAGCAATGCGAGCAAACAAATTGCCCACAGCAGTTGGCCAAAAATTGTTCAACATAACTTCAGATTTTATGGCCCACATGTGTGCGAAAAAGGAGGTCGATCCGCGGTGGCGGCGGTGGAGGAGCATGTGGGCATTCATTGCGGGCTCAGTGGTGCGGTGGTGGGCGCCAGAGTTTACTATCAGTTGGCCGAAATTAGCGCTCCACTGCCTCCTATGGCTCGCTCTCTCTCCACGCTGCTAACCTGGCCAACAAAAATAGTTGTAGTTTTGCCCCGTGTTCATCCTCCGGCAACCGCCCGTTCGTTCGTTCGTTCGACTTGTTCGCCGTCTTTTGCGGCTTGGCCAAGTTTCATGTCAAAAGTGCACTCCATGAATATTTCACTTGCAATCACATTGTTTTCCCGCTAACTTTTTAGATTGTTTTAACATGTGGCGGAAGTGGGCGTGGCCAGCTTGGGGGAGTGGCACGTAGCGTTTGCAACAACAGTATCAAACTTTGGTTTTCACTCAATTTTGGCAATGCTTGCCGCAACCTTGCCTCACAACGATTCGAAGCAGTTTGGAAATTTCACATCCTTGCACGCAAAGAAATGTACTTTGAAAGGGACTCTTTAATATTTGGGGTGTAGTTTTTTGTTATTATAACTTTAAGGGATATGATTTAAAGGGGAAAAATTACAATATCCTTCTTCTTGAACTATTTTTATATTTGGTTACATAGAAAGAAAGTACTGAAATTTTTCCTACGTGCATTTGCTGGTCTTGCTGCACTTTCACATCGAGGTAATCCTTGATTCCCTTGTGCTAAATTTGCCAGTTCAGTTCGGTTTCCTAACGTTGCCCTTTGTGCTCGGCACGTTAATAGTGCCAGGAGCTCTGGGTTCGTCTTTTGCCGAAATATGGGAGATTTATGCGGACGTCTGGCCAGTCAAGATGAAGGCCACTTTGGCAGGTGTAGCCGCTCAAGAGAGAGAGTGTGTGAAACGTGCTGGTTCCCCCTTCAACTGCCAACTGCCATGAAATGCACCTGCTTATATACCTGCTTCTTTGGCGTACTCTATCATGGGATTGCTCTGGCTTAAAGTTTGCCCGAGCTGTCAGTAGTTTTTTCCGCGCTCACCAAGCCATTTAATGAATTTCCCTTTTTTTTTAGCTTTGTTGTCCCTTTGTTTGTCCTTTTTCTGGAGCGCTCGGATGCTCGCAAGTGCTCGGCAAGCTGTTCCAGCGCCGTTTCATTTGTCGCAGTTGCAACGCGGAAAAAAGCACACAGCAAACGGGGCACCGGAGCAGGTGCGTCCCTGGGCCGAGCGAGCTCTCGAAATTACAGCAGCTGTTGCTGCAACAACGAACGACGAGCAGTCCTGGCATTTTCTATATTTTATGCACTTTGCGTGCTACCAAAATTTTGCCCATTTTTTTGTTGCCTAGTTTCCCCCGGGCTGGGCGGTTACTGCAGAATGCAAAATGCAAACAGCAGACTGCAAACAGCAAACAGCAAACAGCAAACACTTTTGACGAAGGTCAGCGGGCGAGGAAGGGGAGGCGTGAGACTAAACTAAAAAAACTTGTTTGATAATTTTCTACTCAAATTGAATATTTGCAACTGTATGTATATGCGAGGGAAACTTTCCTTATTCTCTGCGAATAACTTTAATGGAAAAACTTTGAATATCAAACCGCAAAAACAAAAAATCGTTGCCAGCGGAGAGCGGAGGAGCGAGCGGAAGAGGGCGGGCCTCAGGGCGCTCAGAATGGGCACTAAAATTGGAAAATTGAAATTGAATTGTGGACACAGACACAGACTGACCAGACACAAACAGAAAACTTGCAACTCCAATTCGACTTTCAGTTCGATTCGGTTCAATAAGTTCATATTCACCTCTCTGGGGGATGCGGAGAATAAAAATTAAATCAAATAAATATGCAGGATATAGTCCTGGGGCACGTGTGTGGCTACAAATGAGAGGCGAGTCCTTTGGGAACACTGAAGCAGACTGGAGATCAAGGCCCAAGTGGCACAAACTCATTGGGTTTATTAGCACTCGAAGTCGCCAAATCCCAAGATGCCGAGCCTGGCATGGCCGGAAACCCTTCCGTGGCGGAACTCGCCTCTGCTGACATTATTTCGTTATTATCCGCATCAAGGACTCGATTGACAGGAGCACAGGCACGTGCTGCCAACGCCTTTATCCGTCTTGCGAAAATATTGTCGCAGCCAACGAGCCTGGCTATAGCCAGCTACAAAAGAAATTATATTTCCCAGCCCAGGAAGATCCAAAGCAAAGCAAAGCCGAGCAAAACAAAACAAAACCCAAATAGGCGACGGTGGCGGCAACACAAGTCAGGTCACAGGACGAAGGCAGAAGAGCAGAAAAAGTAAAAAAACAAAAAAAAAAACAGCAAAGGAATCAAATAAAATGCCAGCGACATGGCATCGAGGGTCGTGCCAAGTCCTGTGTCGTCCTGACAGTCTCCACTCCTCGCAAGTGCGTGCTGCTGACTTTTGGCCTGGGCCCACCTATTCTATTTTTTTATTTTTGTGTGGACTCCAAAGGACTCTCCCCTGCCTATTCCCAGTGCCGAATGTTTCCGCAGCAGATAAATACAACATTTGACACTTCATTATTGTGCCCGCAGCGTAATCGAATCAATTCAATTCCAGGTCCTTGGCTGGCCACGTCAGGCCTTGTCGTGGTGTCAAAAGTGCTAGGTCCTCTCTCTTGCCCGCATCCGCATCCGCTTTCGCTTTCGCATTCACATCCGCATCCGCAGGACCCTCGCCCCGCCGTTCATTGTTCGCTGAGAGCCCCCAGGCTCAAGGCAGCTTGCCCTGTTGACACATTCGCTTAAACGTATTAAATTGTTTGCCATCGCCTTTTGGCATCGACGGACCTCGTTTGGCGTAGCTTTTGTAGCTGACGCACAGTTTTTCCAGTTTTTCTTGACTCGCATTTTGTTTTTTTTTTTGTTAGTGTTTGGTTCGTCCTGGGCACTCGGGGATCCTTGATGGCGCTCCGTTTACTTTTGCGTGCGGAAGTGCGCCCAGCGTAGTCGTATCTGTATCCGCATTTGACCCTGTCACACTAAAAGTAATCGATTACCTTGTCACAGGATATGAGCGTATCCGCTTTGGGAGGGAGGAGACTTCCCAAAACCCCACGACAAATGATGGGTGGGTGTGCGGCATTTAATTGAGTTTAATTGGGGTCTGGCCGCAGTGCCTGGCTATTTATGCAATAATCATTGTTTAATTACAAAACCAAATAAATACTCTAATACTCCTGGCATGCTGTCCGGGCCTTTGATGCGGTCACCACTGGGGCTGAATAAATTATGCAAGACACGAATACTCCAATTTCTGTGTGTGTGTGTGCGCCTGTGTGTTTAAACAATTGAATTAATTCAGGGCTCACTGGAGAGCACTGGCCCAAAAGTATGCTTAAATATTTGAGTGCATTTTAACACTTTACACGCACAGACACACGCACATATGCATCTGCAAGAAAACACCCACACAGACATGGGGGGATGGGATAGGATTGACATATAAAATTGATTAGCAAATCAACAGCAAGTGCATTAAATTATTTCCCCATCCATCGCAATCTATCCTCTTGACGGCCGTCCGTAAATTTGTCAACTTTCATTGGACGGGCATAATAAAATGCACTTTATGAACTCTGCCCGACATCTGACAAATATTCTTAAATGCACTAAACCAATTAGCCACACACATCACATCACCAGCAGCATCTGTGTTGAGGAAGGCAAGTCCTGTGTCCTGTGTCCTGTAGACTCGACAAAACCGAGACTTAACCGAATGCCTCTGTGTATGTCGGAGGCGAGTAATAATATTTTGAGTAATTTACTTTATATATTGTGGGAAAATACCAAAAGGCATTTGATATTAAAAGTCTCTCTCTGTGTGTGTCTTTCTTTGCAGTGTCCGCCCAGAGCCTGATGACAAAGAACGAGCCCATGTTCATATCACGTTCGGAGACATTCAAATTTATCACCGGCGAGACAATAGTGCTGCCCTGTGAGGTGGCCAACACGGGTAAGTAAAAGGGAAATGTGGAAATGGGCAAGGAAAATCCCATTTTCCATTAGGCATACCGACACGACCAGGTTCGCCCACGCAGTTTGCATTTAAATGCTGCGGTCGAAGGCTCTGCCATACAAAATAATTAAGCCGACATTATGCGATGCCCACAACTATGCATTAATCCCGGTGGCCAGGACCAAATTTCAGCTCCCAGCTTACTGTCCCCCACCCGACCGCAGAAAAAAACAGGACCAGCGGTCAAATCGGACGTCGGCCATCCATCCGTCCAAGGCATGTGTGTGTGTAGTGGTCACGGCGTTTTTGCTGCGGTCTTCCGCTCCACTCAAGTCTTGGCATTTGAGCACTGCTCCATCCAGCCATGTGTCCGTGTACGTTTTTCAATTTAAATGCGGTCGTGTGTGCGAGATTATTTGTACATAACAAGGATTTAGCATAAGCAACAGCATGTGAGGATGCGAAATGTGTGGAGGAATAAAACCCGGCAGAGGCCAAGACAGACGCCGCCACCCAAGATGGTCAAAACTTGCGTCGTCGTGGACAAAATGTTACATAAAAACTCGGACCCAAGACACTTTGGGGTACATTTTATGTGTACACAGAGAAAAGAGATTGTAAATAGAGAAGAGTTTCTAACTGGAATTGAATTGGAATATAAGAAACCTCTATCGAGTGTTGCTTCAATTCATTCGAATTACTTGATTGACTTCTCTAATGAAAATTCGTTATAAATCGATCAGAATTACTTAAAAATGCTGAAATTTCTCACCGTGTACTATTTAATAGTACATATGTATCCTCTTATATAGACGCTTACATATGTGCTGGAGAAGTCTGCGGTTGGAGTATCCGTTCATAAGAAAAGGAAATACAGAACAAAGAATTTCATTTGCGTTTCTCATGCACTTGATTGCCTCTGACAAGGACGAACTCTGCAACTTCGACTAGGATGAAGACGAAGACCAAGTCTAAGGACCAAGACGAGGACGAGGACGCTGACGAGGACACGGACACGGACACGGAGGAGGACGATGTTGAAGCTGGCATCGCAGACGATGCGATACATAGACAATTTTCTGCAACAAAATTATAGCTGCGGGCATTTGGGTACTAATAATAAAAAAGCAGGGCACAAGAGCAGAAAATACCGGAGTGGAGCTCAAGAAAGTAAATACGAAAAAGGAGGCAGCGGCCGGGAACAATACAGGACGAGGGAAATAAATTGCCTGGGCGTTGGTTTACCCTGCAGTTCCACAGTTTTGTCCCCTGGCAGAGGCCACATTATGCTAATAAAGTGCCCATACGACAATTTCATTACTTGGCTCGCGGCTTAGGAGCGTCCTTAAGCGGAATAATTAAAAAAGAAGGAAAGAAAGCCTCGATGCGATTTCTTGCTTTTTAATAACGCATGCTTTATGGCCGAGTGAAATATGATTAGAAGCGATTCGAAATCCAGCGATTTTGCGGGCACAGGTGAGCCGGAACGCATCCCTTTTTATGGCCGCGCACATAAAGTGTAAAAAATAATTGATAGAATTTTTAAAGCACCACTAAAACGACGAGTTTTCCAGTGAAACTCTGCAAACGGCACTTTGTACAATTTATGCGCATTTTCATTCCGTTTTATGGATGCAAACTCGTAAAATTCGAACGCGGGAAAAAATAAAGGAAATCACACAAAGGCGGCGTGTGTGAGCATTTCCATATTATATGAAAATGCCTTTAAACACTTATTACGCAGCTTTGCTCCGCTCCGAAAGAGTAATCTTTCAGCTCGAGTGCTCCGGGAAAAGGAGTCGAGAAACAGAAACAAAACTGAACGAAAGATAGTCGTGTCTGGATTGTGAGCAAAACAGTGCAAACAGTGAAACATTTCATCATTATCATTTCATTTGAATTTTATTTGCTCTTCAATGTCTGGCACGCAAAGAGACTGTTTATTCCATTGTCTGCACTCTGTGTTGTCTGTTTTTCTGTTTGTTTTCACTCCTGCTTTTCCCCAGAGCAGAAAGTGTATTCGGACTTGGCTAGAATGAACCATCTAGAGTGGAAATACTTGAACCCGGCTAGGGGAAAAAACCCAAAATATATTTCTTTGAACATAAGAGAAAGTATGAGTGTGTTCGTTATTCTGTCAAAGCGTAATTATAACACAGTTTCTTAGTTTTGTGTACAATATAGCCCCTCACCCAACACCTGTGTCCAGTCAAAAGGATGAGCCGTTGTCCTGGCACAAAGAAAACAAACAATAGACAGGTGACAGAGTGTTCTTTTTTGGGGATCACAGTTTAGGCCTCGGACGTTTGCTTAGGCCAATTTGCATGTTAATCCCCAGGCTGTGCCTTTTGAAACGAGTAAATATTATTATATAATTTATGCTTGTAAACTTGTTCATTCTTAAAACTTTCACAAATATGTGTGTGTTTGGGCAGAACGATGGCAAGCTCACTTAATCCTTGGTAAAACCGATTTAATTTCCCCTCATAATATTTTCATTTACACAAAAAAAAGAAACAAAAATATGACTGGAATGGCAGCAAGCGCTGCTTTATACATTGTTGCAATGTTTAAGCTTTTTCAAATCGGCTAATTAATTGCTCTGGCCATTTTATCCACTGCTCAACTTGTCTGCATGCAAAGCCCTTTATGCCGCCAACTGGCCAGTGTCGTGTGAATTTTTCATTGCGGTTTTCCCGGCAACAACACATACAGACATGCAGTCGAAGAGCAAAAACATTTAACAACTGGCAACTGACTGTAACGGACTGTGACTGTAAACTCGAATGCAATAAAATTCAAAACACAAAAACCCCGTCATTGCGGCCATACAAACGCTCATTACGCTTTGATGGAGAGCCGGCGCTCGAAACTATTACTATTACTGTTACTGGCACTGGGACTGTTCCTGGTTCTGGCCCTGGTCCTGGCCCTGGTCCTCAAGCGAACGGAAATGGAATCGTACCGCAAAAGTTGAAGTTGTGCAAACAGCAGAACGGACCACTTGACTCCGGACTCCGCACTCCGCACCGCCTGTAAATGTGAGTACGGCGGTACATACAGTGCAGGCAACAAAGTTTCAATATTAATGCCATTTACAGTTCTAATTTCGCTTTTTACTTACACACACACACATTCTCACACACACTTAACACACTCTGGCAAACACAGTGGCAAAGTTTTACCAAGAAGTTGCAGATAAGTCTCCTTATAGCCCCCTCGCCAATGTCTAGTTTGCCTGCGGCGGCTTAGCCGCAACATCGTTTATCTTCGGGGGTCATCATCTTATAATATTGGCCTTTCCGACATGCAATAAATTGCGCTCAGACAAACAACATGTCCGTTGGTCGGCCTTTCGTCCTTTCGCCTGCTGCCACACTGTGAGAAAATTTCAGCTAAAGGCGGTAGTGGGGAGACTGGCGATTGTTGGCATATTGCGCATACGCACAGTATGCCCAGAGCAAACACACAAAGGCGATGTTGCAACAATGCGAGCAGCATTGGCCATATTTGAATTTGTTATATGTGTTTGTTAGATGTGTGTGTGTGTGGAATATATATGTATGTATGTATCTCTGTCACTGGGTGAAGTGTAGAAAACTAAAAGTTGGCTTTCGGCTGTAAACAATGAACCGGCGGCTCACTCTCTTCGTCTAACTGCAGTGCAGGACGTGCGGTCGGCCATTTGTCCAGGAGGCCGTGTTTATGTGAGCCCAGTGAGGATGAGCCCGACATACAGAAACCGAAATGCTTTTACCGAGTTTCCGCCCCATGCCAGCCACTCGTTCATTCTCATCCGCTTTTCCCCCCACACACAGACTCACTCTACCGCTTTTCCGCTTGCCGCTCGCTTAACGGCGCAATTGTTTGCATGTATTGTTGTCGTAATGTTGCCTAGCCTGCCCCTGCCCCGCCCCTTTTCGTCTCCCGCCCTTCTCTATGTGTGCCTGTGTGCGTTTCTATTTAGTTTAGAACACTTAAACCGGAAATTGAGGCGTTTCGTGTTTTGCTTGTTTTCGTTAGATTGTTGTTATTTTAGTTAACAATTTATTTAGTTGCAACCGGCAGTGGCACACACACACATGAGAACAAGAGGCTCCTTATTTATGTGAGCCGTGCATCGGACAAGAGTCTAAAGTCCACTGTCTGAGTCCCGGAGTCTCCGAGTCCTGCTACAATCTTGGCTTCTCGAGAGGCAAGAGGCTGCTGACTGGCGTCTGTAGAATAATTATTTTCATAGTCTGTATGGAATTTAACTCTCTCGTTGGTTTCTAAATACGAACTTAGGGAAATTCCTTACAGTAAAAACTTTAAATTTAGACGAGAAGTTGCAAAGCTTCCCCTTAATTCTATGGGTGTAGATTCACCCTAACAATGATAGTTTCTATAAATATTTCCAGAGCCCACTGACAGGACTCGAAACACAAGCTTGCCAATTAGTCCGAAACTCGTTGAAATTAACCAATTGTATGCTTTTCAAATCCCCCAATGAAACCAAATAATTGACAGCCAGATATATTGTACAATGCATTTTGACTTGTTCAATTTAGAAGCCTTTTGCCCAATTTCCATATATGTATGTAGTAAAAATTCGACTTGGCAATGCACCAGCAGCCACCAACTGACGTTGCTTCATTCATAACTCAATCAGGCGGCTAATATGATATGACTGCACATCGCCAGCACGTATGTGGCAACACTTGCACTCCGTTTCCTCCCTTTCCCCTAATTCCTAAGCATGCGATGCATTTGCGAGGAGTGGGACTTTGTGGCGCAAAGCCCACAACTCAATGCCCTTGCACCTCCACGCCGCCCCAAAGAATTATATTTTCCGTTCTCTGTCGAGTCTCTCTGTGGCAGGCAAGGACACCCATCCACAACAGGCCCAGCGACCACAGGCTGCTCCTGCTCCTCCTGCGGCAAATCCACCACCTACTCCACCGCCAGGAGCTCCTCCTTTTAGGGCACGCTAACGACAGCAGGTGGTGCTCGTTTATTTATTTGTTTTTGCAGTGCACTGCGCCTCCTGCATAGCCTGCCACCTCTCAGGTTTTCAGGGTTTTCAGGGTTTTCAGCCTTACAGCCTTACAGCCTGGCAGCCTTCACCGCCGCCACCTTTACCACCGGAGCTCGTACCTTGGCTTGTTGATGTTGTTGAACTCATTGCAAATAAATACGCTTTTTGAATGCGCATGTAAATGACTTCATAAGCATTTTATTACGGCCCAGCCAACTCCGGGCTGAACTCTCTGGCTCCTCCTGCTGCACTCGCACTTGCACACGTTTTGGTCCTGGAACTGGAACTTGGTGCATGTCCTAGTGTTTTTTGCGTACGGGGTAAAATCAATTTGAGAAAGAGCAAACAGCTGGGAACTAGGTAATGCCACTAAAATATCAGACTTTCATATAATAGATTTTAAATTTGTCTAAAAAGGAAGTAACAAACTAAAACAATAAAACAAGAGAGAAAACTAACTTTGAGAAGCCATAACTAAGCTTAAAATTCATTAAATCGGGTCGGAAATGATTCCTTCACATTTTTACCAGCTTCTGACTAAAGTAACAAATAAAGGTATAATAATTAAATATGACTCTAGTACTAGGCACTTTACTTAGCTTAAATTCCAAAGTTAATAGCTCAAATAAATGCTGTAAAAAGTAGAGTAATCGCTGCTATTTAACTGAGCTCAGCTGTGCATAATTTCCCGGTACTCTTTTGATTTTTCGGCAGCAGAAGAGCACACTTAGTCATCGATGGTGGGCAAAATTGTTTTCATTTTTAATGAACGCCACTCGTTGGTGCCGAAACACGGAAGTCATACATCATTAGTAGCAAATCCGGCGCTAGCTTCAATACACATTTTCCATGCTTCCACTGCCACTTCCTCCCCGCCCCCCAAAGACTGGAAGTTCCCTTGCCACTGCGGCACTTCCACTTCCGGCCCCATCCTTGTTTCGTGCTCTGCACGCGCGCGGAAATTTACATCGAGGAACTCACATAAATTGAAAAAGGAATCACAATTAATGAGTTCGATGAATACGCCATTGCCAATGGGGGTTTGCCGTACGTGAATGAGTGCTGGTGTAAACATTAGGCTGGACCTTGGGAGAGATATTATCAATATGGATATTCAAATTGAAAATCTAAAGCTGCACCTTAAATGCAGCTTAATTTAAGGGTCTGCAAAAGGGCATATAGAACTTAGAGAGAGTATCAATGGTCCACCCTAGCTTAGATGTGTTCACATGTGTCTGTCTGGCTGGCTTCCTTCCGCTATTGGCAGCATGCTGGCCCTGTTCCTGCTGCTCCTGCTCCTGAAAGCATCCTGGTGTCTCTGACTGCCTCTCATTCTGGCATATGATTGCAAATGCCGCACATTAGCGGATATCAAGTGGGTGTTACTGAGTGCCTGTCTGACTCTCATCCAGTGTTGTTCCCGCCGCCTGTCTGCGGTTTATATTCCACTCTGGATCTGGATGTGGATGTGGATGCGGATCTGCCTTTGGATGCGCGAGTGTGCGGGTCCATGCCAAATTGAATTCCTAGCCTTTTTAGATCCTTTGAAGCGTCCCGTAATTGAGTCATTTGAATTCTGACTTTTCAATTTGCGCTGCCAATGCAACGCAGCAGCCACTTGAATCCGCCATTCGATTTAATAACTCTTGAGCGCAAAAATTATCAATTATGATTCCCCATACTGATTTCGACATTCGATTCCATTTACAGACACGTACGTTGTGGCCTGGAAACGCGGCATTGCCATATTGACCGCCGGCTCAGTGAAGGTTACACCCGATCCTCGGGTTCGCCTGGTCAATGGATTTAATCTACAAATACGCGATGCCCTGCCCACGGATGCCGGGGATTACATCTGCCAGATTGCCACCATGGATCCGCGGGAAATCACCCACACGGTCGAGATACTAGGTAAGTACTATAAAGAGGCTACAGGATATTGAATATAATACTACTCACACAAATTTGTGAACGACTTTTCGGCACTTTTGCATTGTTATGCAAAGTTCCAATCTGCCGGATTGACGTTCCATGGGATTTTTATGGGTGAAATTTATGCGGCTGGCTCAAATCACTTGGGCCCCATTGTTAGGCCTCATCATAAGGGCACGGGCACCTCTACTCTGGCTGAAAGGCTGTGTGTTGTGTGTTGGTCAAATTAACATATCCTTACGTCCTGAGTGCCTAGTGCTTAGTGCTTTATGCGTCCGGGCCACTCAAATATGCAAAGTAGATTCAATAGAAAGTGGAATTTTTGAAGCGGCGAAAAAATCAAAACTAATCTGCCATTTGCCCGGAATCGCTGCTCATCCCCAAACCCGACTGCCTGCATCCCTATCCCCCGGAGGAAGACGGCTGGAGCGGATGCAAATTGCTGCTCCTTTGGCTCCGCTTTAGCTTGTGTTCGACTATTTCCGGAAACGGAGACTGAGACGGAGACGGAGACCCGGAGACCCGGAGAGGTCGCCTAACAAGCTCACGACTCCGGCCGGGGCTTTGAGCTTTGTTTCTTTTCCCAACCTTCCCTTTTCCTTGGGCCGGTCTTCTAATCAGCAATGATGAATAATTTACATATATTTCCCCCCAATTACAATGTTGCCCTTTATTTGCATACGCCTCACTCTCTCTCCCTCTCTGTCTGTGTGTGTGCGTTTAAGCCACGCCTTTTAGCCAGGCCAACACTTGCCTTTAACTGTTCCACGAGTCCTGGCGAGCGAGCGAGTGTGTGTCTGCGGTGCATGCAAATTGCGATACAATTCCCCAGATCTCCAAAGTACGAAGCACTCCTTCCTTGTCTCTATCTGTATGCGATTGAAAACTAGTTTTATTGCCGAATTTAAGGCGCTTTAAACCACGCAAATGTGTGGATTTCCATTCAAACATTATTTCAAAGCAAAGGCCGGCCTATAAAAAATGCGTATTTATTTTAGCAGCCACAACTTTTTTCATTTGTCATTGAAACTTGGTCCTGGCCCCGGTCCCTGGCTTGTGGTCCTGCCACTGCTACCAACTCCCTTTTCCAGCTCCACTCTGGGTTTTTTTGGGCGTCGCCACAGGCAAACATTAAACGGAAAACTCCTTGGGTGCGGGGAAAACAACCACGATGACGACAAAGAAAGACTGGGACAGAGTGAGCAGGGGGGAAAAAAAAGTCGATTATTGAAAAGTTTTGTTTATTTTATGTGTTTATTATGCGCTCCGTTTGCCAAATAATGATCATGGCCAGAAATATTTCGTTTATTGAACTTCGCAGCGCACGTAAATTTCTCGCCCCGTTTTTGTTGCTCCCGTTTTGTTGTTGTCCCCCAATTTCCCCCTCCATTATTGTCAAAGGAGAGAACAGGGAAAATAATGCGCTGTCGAAGTTTTTATAGGCTCAGCAGCAGACACGGTCGGACAGCAGGCACCCTGGCAACCTCCTGGCTCCAGCTCCCAGTCCGAAAAATCAGAAATCCAAACCCAAAACCGAACCGAACCGGGACCGGGTCCCACACCCAAAAACGTATTCGTATATAAATTTCATAAAGTTTGCCGCTCTCTGGCATCTCGGCTTGGCAGTTTTTACGAGCGTAAATTACTTTCAGTTTGGCTCACACTAAAGATGAAAAAATAATGTGCGCCACTGCCAAAGTTTTGCACTTGGCCGGCGCAGCACTTACAAAGACATTAGCCCGGCGATGGCCAAAAAATGGAGCAAACCTCCAGCAAAGCTACCAAACTGCTGCGGATGGAAGGATGCCCGTGGGCAAGGGCAAAACAATAGCCCAAAGTTTGCCCGTTGACAAATCTTTTAATATGACCCGGGCATTAATATCTGCTCCTGCTCCTTGTGACCTTTCCCCACCCCCCAATCATTGGAGGAACAGTGGACAGGCAGCAGCCATGTCCTGGGACATCTGCCACTCACCTAGCCGAGGTCTAACCAGCGGGGCTTTAATATTTGATGAGTCCGCCAAGGTTATATGTACATACATATCTGTGTGTTGGCCCAGAGCAAACTAGGGGAGGAAGACTGGTTGCAAAAGAGGGGACCGGAATCTGTGTCAAGGACCTGAAAGCATTTTCGTCCATTTAACCCCGCGAAATGCAGATGCAACGGGCATTATTCATATGACGTTTAATAAAACCAATTAGGCTTCGACATGCCCATCCACAATCCATCCATTAGCCGGTGGCAGGCTGTCGCCATTCGGTTTGGTTATGGTGTCGGTATCGGTATGAGACTACAAGTTAAAATGGGTGGGATTCTCTGACCAAATCCAACCGCAAAACATTATGTTGTGCGGTCGGGCGTTGCGGCAATTTGCACATTTTTATCACGGCCATTGAAGCGATTTTTAAATGCCTTTTTCGCGCGTGACTTTAATGCGCTTCGTTTTGAAATCGGATTGCTGACTCTAAATCAAAATCGGTGTGCCCGGTGAACGGTGTGCTTGCAATTAGCAGCGTAATTACAGGTCCTGCCGACCGCAAAAGGTTCAAGACGAAGGGGTCTCTCTCTCTCTCTCTACTTAAAGTATCGATAACAATGGCATCATTGAACCGGAAACCATAATTATTGCACCGACCGTATGCGGTTTGGCATAGAGAATGAAGCTGCTGGCCGTGATTTATATGCACAATATGCCAAAACAACTGGAGACGGGACACGGGACACGAGACACGAGCAGGGGGCAGGGGAAATGAGTAGTAGTTGGAGTGGAACGGAAGATGCCACATCAAGTGGAGACAGGTGTGTGAAGAGAAGGGCGGCATTTAATTATGGCCAGCACTATGGGCGGAACAACAACAATGTTTGTACAATAACAAAGGATGCTGCTGGGCTGGGCTGGGTGAGACGAGGTGTGTCATAATTATATGCCACAAGGACGATAAACAAATGCTGAACACTCACGGAGCCAAGGAGTCCGAGGAGGAGGAGTTTCTTTAGGGGAAAGCCGAGACAAATTACCAACGAGGACCCTTGGCCAGAAGTGGGCCCACAATTAAATGCCCAGCTCTCGGCAGCCGCTTAAGTTTTAGCACTAACTTTATCGGCTGCAACAGAATATGGATTTAAATTACTTAGCAGACATGGCCAAAAGTTTCCCCCCTGCCACCCACAGTCCGGCGCACTTAAACTTTAAGCCAACTGGCATGTGTGGGTGGCACACTGGCCATGGACCGGGGCTTGAGTGCGAGCTTGTGAGCCACAAAACCAGGGCCAGAAGTTGAGGCACCACAGCACCAGCAACCAGCAACCGGCAACCAGCCGTGGATGCCTCGAAATCAATATGAAACAAACTCTGTCAAAACTGGCCGCAACCGCTGCTCCTGCTCCTGCTCCTGCTCCTGCTCTTGCTCTTGATCCAGATACTGCGGCCACTGCGGCAAGTGCTTTGAAAGAGCTGCTTATTAAAATTTTTGCCAGCTGCCCGCAAGCCATTCAACCATCGAGGCACATCGTCAGTCTGGAAGATTGAGACCCATTAAGTAGTCGTCATCTGCATGACATTACATGCCGCAATCCACGTATTACAAGCCGCACACTCGAAATCAATTTCAGTGCCCGGGTATGGAGTATTAAAAGAGCTTTGGGCCCCATCCCTCGACCCATAAGAATCTCCCGCAATGGAGACATATTTATTGAATTCAATATGCGAGTATACAAAGCGTGAGAATATATTGGGAATATTCCAAGCATTCACACACATACACTCAGGACCTCGGCAGCCTTGCCTTGCCTGCAACTTCATTGGCGAGTCCTTGCCGAGTCCTTTCGCTGCGCCTTTTGCCGGGCTCATGATTTATTACACTCTAATGCATATTTTGTGGCTGCAGAAGGACAGAGCACTCCATACTGCACAGGAAGAAAAATACCAGAGGTTATTGGGACATATTATTTATATTATTTCTTTACCAAGGTATTTTCAAAAACTCTGTAGAAGAGGTTAGATTTTTCTCTCTGTGTAAGCATGACCTACGAGCTGTGAGCTCCTCCCTCAGTGATCAATTGTAATTTTCTTTCGAATGCAAATATCCTTGGGAGGGCGAGAGGATCCAAGCTGGCAGGGATTATTTGTTTTGGCCAGAGCAATCGAATATATTATTTGATATATTGCAAATCGTATATGTTTTGAAAGAATTGCATCAATAACACATGTTTGTGGGGGCCATTCGCTTGGCTGAGTCTCTGATAATTTGATTGGGACCTAATCAGAGATGCAGCCCAACTTGTATTGAGTCTACGAAAGTGTGTTTTCTTGCGCCTTTCGGTTTATAAAGCTGTTGATACTGCCACTTAAAATGTGGCTATTTCTGAGGGGGAAAAAGAAAATATCAGCACATGGCCTCAATTTACGGACAACGAATTCCCCGGGAGAGCTTAAACAAAACAAAAAGAGAGTGGAAAATGGCCGACACAAAAAATAAACTAAGCGCAAAATCACAAACTCTAAAGGCAAACAAACGGCCACAAAAAACAAAGACCAACGGACTGCCATTCTCAAATAAAAACAAAGCAGAAAATAAAATATATATATATAAAATAATGCATAAGAAATGTCCATAAAATGGAATGAAGCCATCGACTGGAGCGGCCAAGATGCCATTGTCCTTGATTTAGCCGCCGCACAGCGGACATAATTTTTAACAGCTGTAAAATAATGCCGCCGCAAGTATAAATAAACGCCGGTCCCGAATTAAATCAAACTATGCCCCAGCGGGGACAGAATCAGGGAATCGGTACTGGGATCAGGACTCGGGGTCCAAGTCCGAGTTGGAGACGCGTAAACGCCGTTTTCCCCCACATTCAATTTGCATTCGGGGCGCATTTATTTATTCAAATTGTGTGATGTCCTTGCCGGGGCCCACTTTGCATACATTTCGATGTTGAACTCGTGGACGATGGGGGACACTGGGACACTGGACCCAGTTTGTTTGGCCATTTCTAATGTGTTTTTTCTCTCCCTCACTCTCACTCACTCTCTGTCTCTCTCTCTCTGTTTATTTGCTTGACAGTGCCACCAAGGATTCATCACATTAGCACCGGCGGACATTTGCAAGTCAAGAAGGGCTCGTCGGTGCGCATCGAGTGCTCGGCCACGGGTAATCCAATGCCGAATGTGACTTGGAGCCGCAAAAATAATATTTTGCCCAACGGTAAGATTGTGCATAAGTGCCAGGACCCGAGAGTCGGGAGTCTTACAGTTCGACAAAAAGGATGCCGCCAAGCAGCCGTACAACAAACAAACCGAGAACCAAGGACCAAGGCAACCAGAGGCCACGCAAATTAAAATCATAAAGAGCAACAAAGGACGAGCAATGGGGAAGGACGAGGCAAAAGTAAATGAATACAGTCGTAAAAGAAACTTTAAACAATTTCCATAAAAATGGAAAGTCAAAGAAATTATATGCCTTGCCTCGGTTTCGTTCTTGCTCCTCCTTTTTTCTTTTTATTAAATATAATGCCACACGCTGTGTGTGGTGTGTGTGTGGAAGTGAGTTGCGTTGTTTGGCGGTTACGGCGTCTGTCCGGTGACCCCGCGGTGTCCTCCCGGACATCACTGTCACTTGGCCGCACGTTGATTCCCCGTAATTGGCCCTGTCATTCCTTGGACTTCCTTCGGCTTCTGGTCGGAATCCCGGAATCCTTGACTCCCACTCACGGTCTGGGCTTGCTTTTCTTTTTGTTTTTATTGAGTTGCATTTTTCATTTGCTCCGTTCCAGGCGAGGAGAAGCTCCACTCGCACGTCCTTTCCATCGAGAATGTGGACCGGCACAAGGGGGCGTCTACATATGCACAGCCAACAATCGTGTTGGCCAGCCCGCTTCCAGCCAGGTCGTGCTCCATGTTCTGTGTAAGTATGCCACTTGCTCCCACATCACTACACTGGAGAAATGCTATTTTTATTGGAATATATACTAAAATACCTACAAATATTAGAGAGAAACTAAACCCGTTTATGGACATTAAAACGAAAATTTGACTTCTGAATAAAAACTAATGGAAACTTTTGTATCAAGGACGAAATAAATCCATTACAGATTACATAAAACAAACTAACTCATTCTCAATATTAGCAATAATTCTTTAGTACCCCATTCCACCACAATTTTTAATAGTTCCTAAATATTTTTGGTATAAGTATAAAGTAATACTCATAGTCCTAGCAAGATCAATTTAATTTTGACGTGTATTCCTTACAATGGCAGCGAAACGAATTAATTTTTTCCGCCAAGCGCCACTGGGCCACGAAGTTCGACTGTCAGTTCAATTTATGTCAAATCTGATTTCGATTTCGAACGGGTATTGACTTTTAACGCTCTCGCTTGCAGTCGAGTAGATGATGATGATGATGATGATGGAGTCCTGGCCACATACTCTACCCAAAGAGGGAAGAGGGGCAGGAAGGACTTTTATTACATTTACACACTTACCGACATTTATTGGTTGACTGGCAATTATTGAAATGCCTTGCGGGTACCGCCGGTCCCTCTGACATTTATTAAGAATTTATATGTAATTTTGAAAGGGGAGTCGTTGCCCATTACATGTGCTAATTACATGGCTCCCATCACTATTTACACTTTCTGGCCTCGATGGCTGTCGGGGCCATTTAGCCATTGATTTTTCCCGTTCATGTTATTAACTAATTTCTTTACGTTCTTTTTCTCCCCCAGTTTCACCGGAAATCTCCGTGGAGCGTCCCGTGGTCTTCTCCGGCGAAGGGCATGAGGCCACCCTGGTCTGCATCGTCCATGGCGAAACACAGCCCGAGGTATGTTTTAATTAAATTTCGTACATAAATTTTCATTATCGCGCTTGCTCACTCGGAAACACACGATGCCACACAGCGGCACAGCGCCACCAGATACACAAATAGATGACCATAGATATATCCTGGCGATAGATTTAGACGCCTTTCCTGACCAACTCCAACTCCGACTCCAACTCCGACTCCATTGTTTGGTAGCAAACCAGGAACAGATGGCTGCTGCCACAACGCATTAATTAAAAGTCTACAAAGGCAAATTGAAGTGCACTACAAAGTGCAGATGAGAGATAAGAGCTAAGGCGACGGGCATAATTTTAATCAAACATCGCTCACAATAGTCCTACCAAAGGCAAAAAAAAAAAAATAAAGGGGAAAAGACAGTATGAAGACCCCAGCATGTCCTCGTCATCCCGCAGCCATTGCAGTTTCGAATACGACTCTTTTTCTGTAGTAATTTCGTCTTTACATTTTCAGCCAGCTTGCTCTCCTTCTTCTCGGCTGGTGTTTATTTTTGTGCTATGCGCCTTTTGTCGACATTTAAATTAATACGCTCGGCTATAATTCAAAGTAAAATTGCGGAAGTTGCCAAAGCGGAAGTGAGAAGCGGCGAGCTACCGAGAGAGAGAAAAAAAAGGCAAGAGAAATGCCAAAGAACTGAAAGGAAAACCCAAAATGACATGGCGCACACACAGGCAGGATAGCAAAAAAATGGGGGAGAAAAGTATACTAGGGTGATCCTGTGTGAACTTAAATTATAATTACAAAATTGTAATTCAAAACTGGTTCTTATTTAGTACTATTGAAAATAGAAAATTTGGCTCAAATAGAGTATAGCTAAAGATACAACCTAATTATCCTGCAACGAACTAAGACATTGAATATATAACTAAATCCCTAAAGGCTTTTTTCAACCTTTATAAATATTAACAAATATATTAGTATTAAAATTGCTGTAAAGCACTTCAATGTAGGTTCCAATTATTATAAAGAACTCTGGATACAGATGCACCCTAACGTGCCCAAAGGAAACCCAAAATAATGACTTGCAACCGCAAATGTCAATGCTTAAAATTATACAGCTCCCGTTTCATTTCACTTTGTTTCGTTTCATTTTTGAGGCCAGCTTCGTGATAACTCAGTGACTGGCTCTGGCTCCTGGCCCGCCCCGGTTTTCCCCGAATTCCGACAGGGCATTAAGTTTTTATGCTATTTAATTTTTAACAATTTTTTGTGTGTTGTGCTTGGCCCTCGTTTTGTGGCCGCAAAGAGTTGACTGCTTTCCAGCGAACGGCGTAACTATTTATTTGCAGAGCTAGCTGCAGCTTTTTATTTGCTCTGTCCGACACATTTCATTATAGTCGTTGCCCCTCGGTGACTCTCCCTCCCCCTGCCCCTGCTCCTGCCCTGAGCCCTGCCTCTCTGTCCTGGCCATCCGTCCATTCACCCATCCCCCTCTTGGCCATCTCGGCATTAACGTCAACGCCTCCTGCTTTGCATTGTGCATGCCATTGCCATCGCCATTGCCATTCCTGGATGACGGAGCTGTGGGCGGCTGGGCGTGGCATTTAGTAGTCTTTGGGAATGGCATTTCCGCATGCAATTTTTACATTTACTTTCCACTTTCCACTTTGCTCGCCGGCTGCAGTTCGTCATTTTCCCCTTATTCATTTAAATTTTTTGTTTCAATTTTATTTGTATCCCTGTAGCAAAGTGTATACAATTTAACGCTTCCTTTTCGGTTTGCGTTTTTTTTTTCTATGGTTTTCCAACGAGCCTCAAAGTACTTGGGGGTCTGCACATATATAAGTTTTCAAGAGTGCCAGATTCGTTCTTTTTTGTTGGATGAAGAGTTTTCCGGCTTAAATGTTAATTAGAGAATTCATGCATATGTAAGGCCTGCGGGGCAAATGTCCAGTAATATGCTATAGATGAAACTTATCTGTGGTATTATTTCAAGCATAATCCATTTGAATGGAATTTCTGATCTGTCATTAGCGGTTGGTAAATGATGTGGAGAAAAAAGCCCGCCAATATACTAATGAGTCCTGAATGGCGCCTATTGATATGGAATACTATACAGGCCATTGTCCTGCGACAGCGTGCATTTTTAATTATGTCTTGTCAACTAACCGAAGCTATTTTGATGCGGAAAAACCACAAATCAGGGAGCCACGGGAGCCGCATATTAATTATTGAGAGAGCGAACGAGCTGAAAGTCCCTCCGAACACACAGACATCGCACTTATGTGCATATTTACATATTAATTACGCATTGCACCACAGGGCCCAAGTCTGGCATATTCATAATCCATTGATATTGTCGATTTGATGCATAATGAATATCATAAACAAGCACTAAGCTCCTACTACGCCCATTCCCTTCCCTCCCTATACTCGCAAGGACACGAGGATAACAGGAGCAGAGTGTACACCGGGACGATGGGACAGCAACAAAGTCATTAGAGCAATTGTCATTAACATGAGCGACGGCAATGAGACAACATCATTATCAACGTCATCGGGCGGCAACAGCGGCGGTGGCGACGGCATTGTCAACGATGTTGTCGCCGTCATCGATGTCGGACGCATTAAACATGCAGCAGCATTTGACAGAGCCATCAACGTCAGCAGCTAACAGCATTAATGGGCGTCCGCCTGGACAGCAAACTGTTCCCCTAATACATCCACCCACACACACAGGCCCAGTAAATACCATACAGCCCCACAGGAGGCACTCTCCCCCTCATCCTTATCCCATCAGCCTAACAACAAGGACCCTTGAACCGGACCAATGATGAGCTTTCATCGCTCGTCAGCTTGCCCAGTGATTGCAGCAGCCATGCCGCTACTATGGCTTTTAATTATTTTGCAAATTAATTTCCAAATTGGTAATTTTCTTCACATTTACACACACTCAAACAACACACACACAGACAGAGTGAACGTAATGAGTTTTTGTGTCGGGGCGAAAGGACCTGCAAGTTGGCCTATTGGCCCGATCCGAAATGAGATGTTTAGATGGCGCAAAATTGCGACATAATTACAGGATCCGTCGGGATGGAAATTGCTTGCCGGCAAACGACACGGAAACTACTAGATATATCGCATACATTTAAAGTGGGTATTTATCGGAAAACTGTCCAAGGGATTTAGGGTGGGGATTGAACTACCAATTACAGCTGGAACAACAGTGAAGAAACACAAAGTGAATGCACACTAATTGTTATCATTTAGGGCACACTTTAAGATTAGGGTTTCTTAAAGAGATTCATAAAATCTTTAATATTTTAAAGACATCTTGAGTTTATTATACAATTTAAGGGGTAAAGATTCAGTGGAGGAGTCATTTCCGACCCTATAAAGCATATATATTATTGATCAGCATCAACAGCCGAATTGATTTAGCCATATCCGGTAGAATTTGATTTTTTTCAACATTTTTGAAAATTTTATAAGTTGCATCGTTAAAATTGTCAAAAAATTGCCAGCAAATTTGATTGTTTTTAAGTTTGAAATAGAATATGAGTAACCCAACAAAAACTAGCATAGAAAAGCTTTCCGAATTGAAATTAATGTATTTTTGACTTAGTTATGAAGTTTCGAATGTTTAAACTGCAATCCAAACTTCTCAAAGGTAGCTTCATTTTACCTTCTTAATAACATTATAAATTTGACAAAACTTATTCCCTATTCTATATAATGTTTTGTTAACTCATCAATAAGTTTACCCTCCCTTAACAAATCAAATATATAATTTCAAACTAATAATCTTCGCATAAGTTTAAGAGTACTTTAGAAAAGTCTATGAAGTTTGAAGTGATTGGCAGGGTATTGACTTAATAACGCTGCCACTCTAAACTGCTGTTAAACTGCCGTAATTAATTACGACCAAGTTATTTATTGTCATTATCTAATATCTATTAGCATTTCCCTGGGCAGCAACTTTGGGGAGCAGCTGGCCCGAGAGTTCTGGCCAATTGGTGTAGGCAACAACTTAAGTCAAACTGTGGCCATTAACAGCGACACCAATACCAATACCAACATCACGCTGGAAAACTCGGCAACTTCGGTGCCACACGCAATCCAATTCTCATGTGTGTGTGACTGTGAGTTCGTGCTGGCGTGCCAACGCTGCGTATGCGTAATTCCCACATGCCTCTTGCAATTATTTGTTGTTTCCCTTTTTCTTTGCCGCTTTTTCACTCGCACACTCACACACACACTCACACACACCCATCTAACAACACTCTTCCTCTGGCAATTTCCGCTGTGCCAGCCAGCGGAGGTATTGCATAATAGATTGCCAGGCAGGACGACATGGAGGGAATGGGAAAATAAGGAGCTAGCTGTAGCTAGATGAAGGGCAGACGAGGCCAGAGTTGGCCATGTTGGCACGCATACTCTTTTCTTCCTTTTGGCTGATTAGTGTTGATTGGTATTTCTCGCTTTGCTGCTCATCAATGCTAATTTTTCGCCGCTTCTCCATCTCATTGCTGCTTTTGTTTTGCTTCGGGAGCTTCAAAGTTTGCCAAGTTTCTTGTTCTTATTTCGTCCCGATTCGATTCCATTTCCTTTCGCTTGTTCACGTGCCCGCGCGAAAAGAAAGCATTTGAAAATTAAGCGCAAGTGCAAAAGATTGATTGGCGCAACATTTGCGTGGATCCATTAATGAAGTGCACACAGACCGGCGGCCAATCAATCGCCCAAGTCCTGGAACTGGATGAAGGAGGGATGCAAGCATCGCTAATAACAACAAAGATGGCGGACGGAGAGCAATTAATTCACTTAGCCATCTTCTGCCGACGGGCGAAAATATTAAATAAAATAATTTCTGTCCATTTTTCTGCCACGTCAACACTTACGCCTCGTTACGCACGGTTGAGTTGAGTTCTGTGGCGCCAAAAAGATGATGATAGCTACGGCTGTGATCCAAAGACCAGACCATAGCTTAAATTAAGGAAGGAGGAGCAGCCATGAAAAACGCAAACATCAACAAATAACAGAGGCAGAGGACTAGGGGGGAGAAAAAAAAGGAACTTTTATGGCAGGACGGCATAACTGTAACTGCACACGTACGGACAGGGACACGGCTACGGTCATACCCATAGCCAATGGGCGGATGTGTCTAAGCGTGTTTGTGTTTGTGAGTGGAAAATATGACAACACATATGCACTGCTGACAGCCATTTTAATGGAATGTGCGGCCAAAAACACCGCCACCGGCGTTAACTAAACTCACCCGGGGAGCAGCAAATAAATACTAGACTTGAAAATAGAAATAGAAATGCCATAGATAGGCTGGCTAACCCACACATTCTCTCCCTCTCTGGTCTGGTTCTGTAATTTTTTTCATCTATTTGTTTTAATATCTCTGCGCCTTTGTGGGAACTGGAGATTGGATTTTGGTATGTGCGTCATGCCGTGGAGCACCTGCTGCCGCCATGTTCCCCCTTGGTCCCTATCCGTTGTTAATTCGTGCGTTCTGTCCTTGCTTATCTGCCGACTGCGGCCCGTATCCTAGCGTATCCCGACGTATCCCGGGGTATCCCTACGTATCCTGTCTGCGAACTGTCAGGGCGGCGACAGGCCGGCGCTGCAGCGACTCGCGTCCAATTCATTTACAAAACACGCACAGCCCGGGCTGTCAGTCCTTGTAGTTCGCACACGAACCACGTGGCGTCGGGCGTCCTTTTCCGGGATATATTTGCACAGGACTTGGATTCGGGTGTGTGGATACGGACCCCGGACCCCGGACCCCGGATTCCGATTCCGACGCACTTGACACACAAAACATGTTGTCGAATGTTGGCTGAAAATATGTAACAAACAAATAGAGACAAACAATGCGGAATCGAAGATGAATTTCATGTGAGAGAGGTGAGGAGGGTCGAAATATCAGCACCAGCAGCCATTGGGCTGTGGAAAATCTGATGGAAAATCAATACCCATCGGCGGAGCACGTCGATCTGGTTTTCAATTTCAACAGGAATTACGCTTAATTGACGCTCAAGTGACAGCCGCACGAAGTGCAAGTAAAGGAGGAGTCGGAGTCGGAGACGGAGTCAAAGTCGTTTGAGGAAGTCCAAGTGGAAGTACTAGCCGCAAATCGTCTTAACTTTTGCCCCCCAATCTCATTCAACCCTATACCAAGCTCAAACCCAATCACGCACACTCGCTCGCAACTCGTGCTCGCCTCGATTGACCAACTTTTCAATTATTTACAGGTAATTTGGTTCAAAGACACCATGCAACTGGATACCACAGAGCGGCACATCATGGAGACGCGGGGATCGCGGCACACGCTGATTATACGCAAAGTGCATCCGCAGGACTTTGGCAACTACTCCTGCGTGGCCGAGAACCAACTGGGCAAGGCACGCAAGACCCTCCAGTTGAGCGGAAAACCGAACGTTGCCGTTTTTAATTCGCCGCCAATCAGTCAGTACAAGGACAGGTAAGTGCATCACGAATGCGAGTGCCACTCCTTTTCAGAAAGATGGAGAGAGAGCGAAGTGTGCAGACACGTGCCAAGTTAGACAACGAAACTTGTCCGCCTAATTACCAGAACCAAGAGCCATTCACAACCCAATTATTGAGCATAAAATGCAAAATCCGTGGCAAATGTCCGACTTTACAAGCTGATTGGACAATGGACTTTGAGCGTAGAACATAGAACGTATAACGTAGATGATGCACTGCCCCCGGACGGGGCAACTTTATTAGATTCATTCCGTTGACTGACATGGCAACCGACTGAAAGACTGACGTCGGGACAGCCCTCGTGCACTGCTTATACGTAACGTATGAAACTTTTAATTGGATTAGCTGTCATCAAACACACACGCTCGCCTTTTAAGTGGGCAGACAAAGCGTGGTAGAGCAAAGCGGGGGAGACGAGGCAGTCAGTCAGTCAGTCAGTCAGTCTGGCGACAAACAAGCCCACACATCTCAGTCGCACAGAACGACGACAGCTAGATAAATTTACTCGATCTGAATATATAGAGCTGGGTGTGTGTCTGTGTCACTCCCACTTCCAATTCCACCTTTCAATAATTGAACGCGAATTGAATCCAATAATCTGCAAACATTTTCTAAATGCGATGTGAGGAGAGCACTGCGAAGCCATTATAATTTGGGCCACAGCCATATTGCGCATACGCCCCGTTAGCAACTCGGCAAAAAGCAACTAACCGAGCATCGGCCATGTCAACTTTTGCGCTGATTTCATTCCATTTCATTTGGTTTTGATCTGCTGCCGATGCCAATGCCGGAAACTGGTGCCGGCAATTAAGGCTACCAAAAAGGCCAACAGCAGCCCCGAAGCACACAAAGTACCAAAAGCGATTCTGGCGCCAGTCGCCGGCTCTTCAATTGTTAATAATCATTTTTATTGCCAGCGTTAGTTTTATGCTATATGCGAAAACTTTTCTGATTGGCGTTTTATGTTTTTATTGTGACCGTCCCGAGACTTCAAGTTATTAGTTCGCATGGCCCAATAATCATACAGAATACATCGAGAGCAAAACAAATAATGGCAGTCGTGCCGACAAAACAGGAAGGACGAAGGACCTTTGTTTACAGGCTGGCAGCCCCCAAAAACTCCCTCCTCTTCATCCCTGTGCTGATTAGCATTCAAATTGTGTGCCGACTTTATCGCAAAGCAATGAACTTGCGCCTTTTGTAATGGCGAATTGCGACATCCTTGGAACAAGAATGGGATGGGGTCACCTAATTAGTTGTTTACTCGAGCAGCTCCACTGGAGTGTGCCCATAAATAACTTTGTCCATCAGCAGCTCCGGCAACTAATGAGCTGCTCCATCTTAAAGCTCTCGGTCCCCGCCGGGTGGGAGAGCGACAACCTTTAAGCCATCGGGGCCAATGGCCAAAAATGCATTTAGCACACCCTCCTTGGCGACTGGCTAGCTCCCTAATCACGGCATGGCACAATGCACCGGGCACAAGTCGGGGACCGGTCATATAACTTCATTTACACTTGAGCTGAGAATGTGGCAGGACTGTTAGCTTCTCGGTTGAATGGACGCATTGTGCGAGCAGCCCCTCAGCATCGGGATGGGTGGGTGTGACTTCTAGATGCTGTAGTCAGGGAGGGAGGGGAGCAGCTGAGCAAACAAGGAGCCAATAACAAAGGAGCAAGCGGGTATTATGTTAAGACTGCAGCAGCAGCAGCAGCAGCATCGCAGCCCGACAACAATGCAGCAGCGGGTTGGCTCATACGCAGTATCTTAACCCGGCCATTGTCGCCAGCCACGTTGCCATTGATTACGATGTTGTTGTCATTCTGGAAGCTGCCAGTCCTGTTGCAGCTCCTGCTCCCCAGTGCTGACAGGTCACAAAAAGGACAAATAAACCGAAAAAATCATGGGGGAAAAAAGGATACCAGAGGAGCAAAGACATTTACAAAGCACGATCAATTAACTATTTCGCAAAATAAAGTCTAAAATTTAGTTTTGTTTGGTATAATTAAACTTTTAAACTCCATCCCATCTCCCATCTTATTTACGATATATAATAATCGGCAATAACTATATAATTTAATAGTATAACAAAGAGTAAAATTATTATTCACAATAATTTGTGAATGTGCATCCCGAAATACCAAAATAACCCCAGGGACTTAAAGAAAGAGTGAAGATTTACTTCCTACGTATATATCATTAAAGAAACCCCAAAAATCTGTCCATAAAATGGACAAAGTGGTTGCACTACTGCTTTTCCGATGGCTTTAGTTACACTTTCAGCTTTTGTTGCTGCTGACGTGACTGAAGCTTGCGTGTTTGCCTTAACTGCAACAGCAGCAACACCAGCTCTCAATGGAGAATTTAACAATTACATATTGATTGGAAGCGCCTCGGAATAAATCCCCCACCAACTGTTGCACGCAAAAGCTGCCGATAACCACTAACCCTTCGTTCTTTTCCCCCCATTTTCAGATACAACATCTCCTGGGCCGTGGACTCGCATTCACCCATCGAGGAGTACAAGTTGTCCTTCCGCAAGCTGCCGCAAGGACACGAGGTCGTTGGCAACGCCATCGATTCACCCTCCTCCTCGCTCTCCTCATCCTCATCACAGATGTACGGCTCCGGACTTCATTCACATCGCTCTGGCACTGGCAGCAGCAGCAGCAGCAGCATGGCCGGACTTGGAGTCGGTCTCGGTGGCAACTACGCCGGCTACGGCAACATGATGCACTGGGGCCACAACGACTGGCGCAATGTCGTCCTGCCGGCCATTCCCCTATCGCATCACTATGCTCAGGGCATGAGCTACATGGTGCGAGGTCTGGATCCTGACCAGCACTACGAGGCCACCGTTCAGTCCAGGTGGGTGAAATTTAAAAACAAAAAGCAGTTTCAGTTACAGGCAATCGAATCAATTGTTTGTGTGTGCCAGGATTAAAGCGAAATGAGGCGCACAGTGGCCAAATAAAGGGATATTTTTATGTAATTTGAATTTAAAAGAAAGAGATAAAAGATCATTGCTAAAGAATACTGTGCAATAATGTTTGTTTTACATCACTTTTGATAATAATTTGGATCAAACCAGGTTTATAGCTGTCAACTCCACTGTTCTCGATGTCCTGCTAATTTGGCCACTTCAGGTATTATTTATGACCCGAGGACAGTGGCCCTGTCAGCGTCGGTGCATCCGACTCGGCTCATTTGCCACAATTAGCATATTAATACCAGGCTAATGTTCCCGAGCTGCATTATTAATACAGAGAATGCTTATCAATTGCAGGAATCGTTACGGATGGAGCGATTTGACCAACAGTTTTGTCTTTTCCACATCATCGAATGGTAAGTGCGAGCTTGATTATCTTTTTCCTTACTTAACTATTTTAAAATTTGTAATTTAAAACTAGGGAAATTGTCCCTAAGTGATATGTATTTGTTTTAATACATTCAGGTTATATATAACCTTGCATAGGATTATAGTTTCAGTCAGAAGAGCAAAACACATTGAAGGAATTATTTCCGACCCCATAAAGCATATATATTCTTGATCAGCATTAACAGACGAATCGATATAGCTATGTTTGGTAAAAATTTATTATTTTCAAAATTTTGAAAATTTTTTTAAGGGGTTACATCGTTAAAATTATCCAATAATTGATAAGAATTTGAATTTTTTTTTTTAAATGTTGAATAGAGTATGCAGAATTATTAACCTTATGAGAACTAACATAGGAAAGCTTTCCGAATTGAAATAAATGCATTTGACAAAATTATAGTATTTAAAAAACTGTGATTTAGCCAAACAATTGATATATAAAATAATGTATATTTTAAGCTTAGTTATGTAGATTTCCGATAAGATCCTCTAATTAATTAGCACACTGCAAGGGTATATAATCTCCAGCTTCCGGAATTTAATTTCCTTTCCTGTTTTAGAGTATTACCTGCTCGGCTAGCCGAGTGTCAACAGAATCCTTTATCGGTTTGTATACCTTCTGCTGCCGACCGCATGCATAATAATTTCGAATTATACGCTGTTTTCGCTGATAATCTGCAAAAATCACAGTGAAACTGCAGCTTCACAAACAAACAGAAACGAAAAAAAAGCAAACGCTTTGTATCACAGCCCGCGGGAAAATATGTTCAGGCTGTCATAACTTAATGCTGTTAAATTTATTACTGACGAGGGCCAAGTGAAGCGTAAAGTGAACCCGTCGCAGTCCCTCGTTTGTATCCGTTGCGAGAGCTTCATCCTTAATGTCGCACTCACACTTGCACTCCATCAGGCACATGCACAGCACGTCAGTTAAATCACACACAGTTTTTTGTTTCGTGCACTCTCTCAGGTGAAAGACCGCGGACTTTATTGCCGCCTCTGGGCTTTAATGAGATCCCTTTCAGATCAATTGAACCATACCTAATGGGGAATATTAATAAAGCTGTCCGACAAATAGCACTCTTCTAGCCTAACACTATTATTATTTTCCAGTTCGACCAAGCGCACCCATCAAGTATACGCCGCGTTGTCAGTCAATTTGAGGGAACGGTTGAGCGAACGTGCGCATAACTAATTGATGGCAAGTTTTTGGGGCCACACATTTGACTCTGCATAATGAGAATCGAAATGGTTACACAAGACTCTCGCTAATTGGATGCTGAAGCTGGTCCTTCTTTCCAATTCCTTTGCAGGAAGCGAGAAATAAACAAAGATGCACGACATGGCAGCCAGGCAGGTGGGTTTTTGGGGTAGACACACTGTGGACCTCTAAATGCGCACTCGAAATCCATTTATATGCAAAACTATTGTTGCATTGCATACGGAATTTCTGCGGCGGGAAAAGCGGCGAAAACGGGGTCCACCAGAAAAGCGATTTTCCATGCAAATGACGAACATTTGTCGGCGCCAGCAACGGCACCATCACTGGCTCCAGAGCCAGAACCAGAGACAGGACCGCAACCAGAACGAGATCCTGCGTCTTGCCATCTTTTGGCTGCCATGCGAAATGCATGCAAATGCAAATAGTGCACAGTTCAATGCCGCTGCTGAGGCTGTTGCAGTTACGGTGATGGGTCTGCTGCCACGTTGCCTGGCAAACAAACGCATAAATATGCAGTCGCAACAGCAACAGCAGAAACAATAACAAAAGCCAAAAGAAAGACGCAATAAACACGCACATGGCGAGTGAGATACTTGCACAGAAACGTCCTGCGAGGCGGCGGAAATTTAATAAAGCAAAACGTGAATGCCGCACAGAGAATGGCACATTCAGGACGCGACAGGGCTAGGGCCAGGACAAGGACCAGGACCAGGATGGGAAGGTATCAATGTCGCCTGGCAAAGACGTGTTGCTTTTGACGGTCTGCGAGTGAGACACGTATCCCCCGTATCCGTAAGATGCCTTGCACAAAGCTCTGCCAGGGAAGAACTTCATTATGCGCGCCATTGAAATGCGAAGTTCCAACGGTTCGCTTTCAAAGCGAAAGCAACTTCGTTTGGTGGCAATTTATGGGTTCGCTTTTGTGCTAATGGAAATGACTTCATTATATTTTCGAAACGCAAACAATTTACGCAATTAGTGGTCTAGTATGCGATGCAATAAGAACCACCACCAATACCAACATTACAAGCAGCAACAACGAGGTGCAATCCAGCAAAGCGGCAACTAATGAGCCTCGAGTGTCATAACTACAACTGCAGTCCTCGCACAATAACAGTAACGGTAATGCCAAAGGACGACAATCGTCCTAGCAGATACACAAACACAGCCAGTATCGCCAGTTCATTTACCCGGTCTACGTGTCCTACGGGTCCAGGACTCCAGCCAGCATTCATGACATTAGCCTGGCCACCAAGAGAAAGGAAAATGCCAATTGAGGACAGAGAGAGAGAGAGAGAGAGAGAGAAAGAGAGAGAGCGGGAAGGAATGGCAGGACCTTTGGACATTCAAGATCCCAACAGCCACAATATGACAGGCTTCCGCAGGTAGGACTCATTCGTGCTGGAAATGACGTTTGTGAAACGACTGCACTCCAACAGCTTCTCTACCGAATCTACAAACTCAACAAGTTCGAGTCGGATAAAGGATTCTAAAGGAAGATATATTACTTGAACAGGAGCAAAGTTTCTATTTACAAATAATTCTTTGGTTTATGAAGTATTTTTAATTGATTCTGAACTCTTAAGCTCTCATAATTTAAGCACTTGAATAGAGTGTTTCCTCAGCAAAAGTACTTTTTTATCCTAGCAGTGTGGGTCAGCCTAAGGACACCCAAAGGACATATCAACATCGATTTTTCCTCGTCATATTATCCACATTCTGAATGGCCTTTAAGTGCATTTAATTTTTACGAGTCCTCGTCTTTGTGCCGCTGATATTATCCTGGCTGCCATTGTTTTTTTCTGTTTGTTGCCACTGTCATAGTCGTTGTCTAGATGCGTAAGGAGGATGGGGAGGCAGAGCAGTTGCAGGAGGTTCAGCTGGTTTTGTGGAATAGACTCCGGTAGATGCCAGGTATGCAGCTATTTACATCATAGAGCTCAGTTATAGTAACGACGGGAAGGCACGCGGGGTCACAGGGCCGGGGCACATAGAGACATAAAAAATAATGCATTTTGTGCACGCGAAAAAATACTCGACATAAAGCAAAAAAAGAAGTTAAATAAAATTACAACATAAAGTGCGGCAACGAGTGTTCGCTCTGTTTGTATTTGTGTGTGTGTGTTTGGGGGGTGTGGACGGGAAGAAATATCAGAAAATGAAAGACTCGTTGAAAGTTGCGTAAAACTTGCTGAAACTGCCAACTGAGGAGCGCTGCAATAACAGCAACTACTGCCACACTAGCAGCAGCAACAGCAGCAGCAACAGCAGCAGCAACAGCAGCAACAGCAACAGCAACAGCAGCAACAAGGCGAGGCATTCAAACGATGACAAAGTGGACCCTCGCTGCATGTCCCTTAGAATGCGTCGCCGCTTCTGGCAGCGAGCGTCTGCTCGAAACTTTCAATTTACTCGTCCTAGTCGACGGCCATCGTATCGTATCCTTGGATCCAGCTCCTACGTATCCCTCCTCAGCTCCTCAGGACGCCGTCCCTGTGCGTTTGAAGCTTTTGTGTTGCCGGCGGGAATACTTTAGCCGAGGCTCCACCAGCAACTGCAGCAGCGTCATCGCTTTTTTTCGCCTTCATTTTTTTGTTTGCCGGCATGTAAGCTGCAAAGTTTGCCCAGGCATACATACATACATACATATATATGTAAGAGAACGGCGAAAAAAATGTAGGGGAAATGAGCCAAGAGATGGCAGAAGTAGAAGTTTTGTAGTGGCAGCATAACAAGCACTGGCAAAAATAGCACCGCTCTCAGTTGCAAGATGTGTAATGCGAATTCTCCACGTGAATGTTATGTTTATGTAAAGTGCAGGTCCCACAATGCCATCCCGACACCAAGGAGCAAGGATCTTCTCTCCATGCAGACAGACACACACTGTTTGCCGGAGTTCTTGCCGCAAGTTGCTGAGTGCTCGTTGGCACAAAGAAATGCGAAAATGCATTGTATGTCAGCAACCGGGGCTTTAATCAGGGCTTTAAGGGTCGGGCCACCGAGCCCACTTGACCGTCGAACAAGAAACAAAAAAAAACGGACACACAACTACCGGATATACATAATGGAGGGCCCAAATCCGTGTGGTCAGCAGCGGACATTTTGCGACAAACGAGGAACAAGCCAGTGCGTGCGGAGTTCGCTGTTGAAATGTGGCTGCCGCTGGCTACAAACAACAAAAAAATAAAACTTCAAAATCCGTGGTGAGGCGGCCGCAGCACTTCGCGAATCTGTAATAAACTGTCGGGCTGGGGCATCGGTCCCTGGGGACAATGCCAATCCTAGTCCTCGTCATGCCCACTATGCGAAAAATCGGATTTGCCTCCTGTACTTACAGACACCAGCGACATCAGCAGGACCATCAATACGTCTACACTGAGCCAAAGTTGCATGCAACATGAAATTAAAATTGATACCTAAAACTTTAATTTATAAGAAATAAACCTACAAAGAATCAATAAGATATTTTCTCATTGGTTTATATATAGTAAAATAATGCTTTTCTGTCTGTGTAAAAGCAGCAGCAGCAACAAAATCCATGCGGATTGCATTTGGCCATTTGTATTTGTTGCCGCACCGCAATGCTATTACGTGAAGAGTGAGCGTGGAGGAAAAGCTAAATCCGGACAGGTGCCGAAAGCCGGACCCTATATGGCAGCCTCGAATTGTCGGTGCCATGGACCACGGTCACGCCACTGCGGCGACATCGATGGCGGCGGGAGCGCTTATTTAGGAGCGCAAACGAGAAATCACAAGTGACGTTACGGTTTTGTGCCGCCAACCGCAAGCAATAAAAGTCGCAACGACAGCCGATACAAGTGCAGCATTCAACGGACCACATTAGCCGGACAGCCACATGGTCACGAGTCCAGCTTCAGCTCCATCTCTACTGCATCCTGCATCCTGCATCCTGCATCCTGCATCTTCTGCAGCATCACGGGTCCGTGGTCGCGTCTGTTTTCATTACAAAATTGCCAGCGTTTGCTTGCACCGCAATTGACAATTTGCTTTTATTTTATGTTGACAGTTGGGGAATTTATATGGTAATGCCCACAGTGTGTGCTTGTGTGTGCAATGCATTTGATCACCGCCCGCTGGCCATTTTTCTTAGTCGCTTAACCGGCGTGTACAGGACTAAATGGTCAAATAAATGGCCCAAAGGCTGGAAATGTTTGCGTTTAGGCAAACAATAAAATCTGAATCAGAATCAGGCAGGCCTTAATCAAAGAGATTTCGAAATAAATATGTACTTGCAACACAGTTTGAGAAATTCTTCCCAGCGGCAGAGACTTTCAATTTGGGGCAACTTACTTATTAGGTAATTGAAGTGGTTTGTGAAAATTCATTTATTTACCAACACCACAATGTTCATATTATTCTATCATTATTATAATTATTAAGTTTGGTATTTATCTTTGATGGAATTTGTTGGTACAACGAGAGAAACCTGTTGATTGAAACTTATTGGTTACCAAGACAAAGATTCAATTTACTAATTACTTGACCTCCAACTAAATTATAACCAAAGGTTAAGTAATAACCTCAGGTTGCAAATGTTGTTGCAAGAGGGAAAAACTAAAACCAATAGTCAAGTAAAAGACACAGCACAAAATTATAACAAAACCTTTAGAATCAAGCATACAAGGTTAGTTAGGCGTTCATTGGAGGATAAAGCCAGAAGGCTGTACTGGCTCCTAAAGGCAAATAATCACCTGAGTCTGGCGAATAAGGTACAGATATATAAGTCCATACTTGCCCCTACTTGGAGATATGGGATTCAAGTTTATGGCATAGCGGCCAAATCTAATCTGAGTTACATCCGGGTCTTCCAAAGCAAGTTCCTGAGGAGAATTACTGGTGCTGAGTGGTTTATTCGGAACACTGACCTAGCGAGGGACCTTAAAGTTCCCTTGTTAGGGGATATTATCAATGAACAAGCCGAACATTACAAAAATAAGCTCATGTCTCACCCAAACATTCTAGCCAGGAGACTTGCGTCTCGGCGGGCAAGGCGGAGACTTAAAAGGATTCATCCCTCGGACCTACCAAGAAGGAAAATTTATTAAACACTAACTAAACTCCCTGCCACTTGTTACTTCTTCACTTCTTACACTTTTGTAATAATCCAATGAACTCCTCCGCTCACTATTGCATAAGTTGCTACACTACAGTAATTTGCAATAATAAATTCAGTCAAAAAAAAAAAAAAAAAAAAAAAAAATTAGATTTACATTTATTACATTCAAAGTAAAATGACTGTCAGCATTCATTCAGTTTCTATTTATGTTTCCATAAAAACATGAGTTTCTCATAAATTTCTTTTAAGGTATATTTTAATATTTAAGCACACAAGAGCCTCTGTGGAGAGTATGCTTATGGCATATTATTCGTGTGTCTATTTGAAAATTAAAGGTGTCATGTTTCGAGGCGTTGGCAGCCCAGATGCCTGGATAGATAAGCTGTCCCGGTTGCTGGGCAAACATGTGTGCAACATGCAACCTACATTGATATCACGTCCGGCATTCGGCGCTATCCTTTCGGCACTCAATGTTGCCTGTCCATTCAGAGTGTCAGCAATCACTACTGATGCGAGGGAGGAGGGAGGGTTACAAGGATACAGGACCGCAGCGGTCCTTTTGCGAGATCTGTACGCCTTAGATATGGCAGCTAACTGGCTGGCAGGCTGGCAGGCCATCACATATTTATAAGTTTTGCTCGCAGCGCCCACAAACTCCTGACAGGCATCGCATTGCATTCGATAAAGAAGTCAATGTCCCTGGCAGCCAGGATGTTTCATTAAAGTCGATGGGCGGCAAATGATATATGCAGCAGCTTATCGAGGGCGGCGGTCGGGCTGGTCCTTCATTTACGGGTGTTTACAGAGTCAGCTTCGCTTTTGAGTCGCGCTCCGCTGGCCAAATGCTCATTTGTCATTATTGACAGATGCAGAACGTTGCCGTTTTAATTGGCGGCCTTAACGAAATGAGCTGCCTGCCAGCCTGCCGAGGAATGACCTCGTTGCTGAATCTCCTCCTGGCCGCCCACTTGATTGGCCATCTGCATCCGGATTCGCATTCACAGTGGCAGTCGCAGTAGTCTGCTAAAAGTAAATCCTTCTGATTGCAGATTGCACTTTAAGCGTTAATGATTTATTTGCCCGCATGGATTTGATTTAAATGTCGAAGCGGACATTTTACTTAATAGTAGCAGCACCACCAATAAGCCTTAAGCCGTATCGATAGCACCTCCATCCCCCTTTTACTCTCTCTCGACTATCCTAACTTTCATCGACTGCTCCACGTACTAATTGCAGATGGGCCTGTCGATCTGTCAACCTATTTGAATCACGGTCTGTCAGGTTAGTCTAGCTATCACTTTCACTCTCACTCCCTCTGTCTCTCTCTCTCTCTTTCTCTATCTCGCTCTTTTATCCTATACATTTATCTTTCTCTCTTTGTTTCTGTCTCTATCTATCTCCATACCAATATCTCTTTGCATGTTTTCATCCGCATGATATTTATTTTACATATAATACTCCTGTACACACTGCGCCATATTTGCGCTTAGCTAAAGCCTGAAAAAGAAAACAAGGAACTGTAAAAAAAAGAAATAATAAGAAAATAAAATTGAACATTCCATGAATATATATATATAGTATAGTATATATATTCGAATGCATATGCGTTTGTCCGCGCAGTTTAGCAACTATTTGGCGTGCCATTTCACTGCTCGATCAACAACAGAACCGAAAACTAAAACCAAATACAGAGAGATGAACGGAAAACAAGTTTTAATGTCCGTTTAGATGGCAGGTGTGCGAATGCACAGGTATAGAGGATTTCCAATGCAGAGGTGTGCATGTTGTGTCCCTTTGATAAAACAAAACAAAAAATATATACATATATGGGGGGAATTTTGTCCATTTCAAATATGTTGACTTGCATGCCCAACCAATTTGTTTTATGGCCACGGCCCGATGGATATTGAAATGCATACATTGCGCCGGATTTCTATGTAACCATTTGTTTGATCAGCGTTCAGGAGCGGATTAATAAAAGCGATTTCCATCTATCTTAATTGCAGATAACGAGATGCGGGACCTGAGCGTCACCTTCTACGGCAGCAGTGCCATCAACAGGCAGAAACTGGGCCTTCTGGCCTTGAGTTCGGCCACCGTGGCCCTAAGTCTGCTCGTGGCCTAATCACCCGCTTCGATTTGAGCCATGAATTTCTTCGCCAATAGCACTTCGACTTCAACTTCGAATTGGGGACGCAATGGAACGCCGACCGACGTCTACTCACAAACTCTAGTCTAGTCGTAAACTGGTAGAATAAAAGAAAATCTATATATAAATATATATAAATATTATGCATAAGCGTAATTAAAAGCATTCGCGCTACGATTTCTCATTGTTCGATTCGAATTTCTCAAGCAAAAAGGAAAAACCAATTTCGAGTTTAGTGAATTAACCACACAACGGAAAACGGAACCATACATTATACATGTAACAATCAATGTAAAAGAGCATGCAACTGTTCAAACTAGTACCCCTAAAGCATACACACACACACCCTCAGATTCCCCCATATCCTCCTTCGCACATCCGGCGACCATTACTGGCACCCCCATTCCCCGTGTACATAGATTTTATTGCATACTTTTAGGTATAAACTGCACCAAAGAAATAGTCACTCGACGATCGAAAGGAAAAGAAAAACACACAAAAATATGAACTAATAAATAGCAAGTACTCGATGCATAGAGGAGGAAATTCGTAGCGTTATGCAGATAGTTAATTTAATTGATACATAAATGCATTACCTAATTATCGGATACGAGCCACGCCATGCAGCAGCTTAGCCGGAATTCAGATAAAGAAAATGGAGCAACTTAAACTAATTTGCAGCATTTGCATTTGAGATGGCTTAAAGCAGACGGCGTTTTTCTAGCTTTTTGCGATTTGTATGTATGTAGCAGCTAAGTAGCTTAATTGACCGCATAAATGCAATTAAATTAGTAAACAAAACCTATTGATTTGGTATGTAAATTAATAATCCACTGCAAGCGGAGCCACAGCCACAACAAAAAGGCAAAGCATATAGAAACTTCCATATGGATTTCGGATTACAATTAGTGCGTAAGTGTAAATAAATATGATTCACATCAGTGGGATATAATAAATGAAAAATATATAATAGTCTTTATAAATAATACCCCCCAATAGGCAGTTTACTCTCGAACACCGAACACAGGGTGCGGCCAAGGTTGTTTTTATGTAAATATATATTGCACCGCAGTCTCGAATCTCATATGATATATGATATGATATGATAGGTACTCATAGTTCAATACTCGTATCGTTGCTTCACAAAACGCAAAACGGCACCTTTCGAATTTGGTTCTCTCTCTTCAGCACCCTGTATTATCCTTTTTAGCATTCCGAAATTTAAGTCGAAATCGAAACCGAAACTAACACCGAAAGCCAAGCCAGTGCACTCTTGATGCATTCGCACATGTATGAGCTAGACTTTAAGTAAATATTGTATTGAGATTAAAGAAGACGTAATGACGTATATGTATGTGTATAAGAAAATATCGTAATTGATTTCCGAATTAACTCAGCCACATACAAGATACACATTCAGCTTTTATATAGAACCTAAATAAATCGGTCAGGGGGAGTTTGGACCGCAAGATAACAAAGAAAGTATATGTGTAATTAATACGATTGGCCGCAAGAGCGTTAAGTGAATTATCGTAAACTTATAATTTACGTTCGTGTGTATGTATATTGATGTGTAACACTTACAAGCGATACAATTATTATCACAAAAGAAAAAGAAAAACGGCCCCAGATCCAATGACCCGCCATCCCAACCCTGAACCCAAACGATTCCCACGAATCCCCACGGAAAGTTGCTTTGGTCCGGCGACTGGAGCCCATCGATAAGTTAGCTAAATGATGATATCGGTACTCAGCATATATGTATGTACACCTGAATATATAGAGAGGGATGTGTAATTTACAGCTTAGTTATAGTTTATAGTTTATAGTTTATCCTATTTTGTTAGTGCAACAAAAAACCAAGGCAAGACACGAGCCGTGCGTGTACAATTCTACTTTAAAGTAATAATAATACTAACCTACACACCTACAGACATCTTCGGTATTGAATGTATATGTGACTAGAAACGTATGTGTATGTATATTTGATTATTTTGTAAAATTTTTCAAAAACTATAAATAAAGTCTATATTACCATATAAATGTAAACCGGAGGCATCAACCTTTTCTGTGTTCTATATATTTTCTCATAATTTATGCATCCCCTTTCAGCCAGTATTTTTCCACTCACGATCCATTCTATCCCCACGTCAATGACGCTCATCAGAGGCCCTCTTGGAAGGAGGATGTCTTCCTTTGGAGACATAACATATACATATACGTGAAGGATGCATCTGCAGATAGATGGAATGGTGGCGCGACTTGGGCACTGTATCCATTCAGCTGTCGAGTGCTCCGCTCGGAGGAGCCCGGAGCTCTTGGAGTTGCGTAAATGCAAACTTGGTTTATTTTATTTACTCCATCCAGTTGTCATAGCCCAATGCAGGCGGCTCACCTTTTGTGTGTTGCCCCGTGATGGCTGTGTAGACATTTAAGTGAGCCGGCAGAGTTGACGACCCATCTCCTCACACATCCTCACACATCTCCATGCCCATATGCCCATCTGCCATCCGGCGCCGCACATGATGGAATGGAAATGAAAATGGAAAAGTTTTCAGGCTGCCAGAGATTGGAGTAGCTTGGCTCCGACTGCAGACTGCCGACTGGTTACACACAGAGCTCTGCTGGCTCGAGGAAAAACTTTAAATGGGAAATTTGACAGACAGACATAACGGTATTTTAAATGCGATTCGAATCACATGTGCGTCCCGGAATCCTGCGTCCCTGCAGCATTGTGTGGCCATCAGCAACTCAGTTCAACTAAGCCGGGCAGGAAACTCCTCCTCCTGTTTACCTATTCCAAATCTATTCCAACAGGATATGGTAAGTTAGTTGATGGGCGACGGCAGGCGGCAAATTGAAAAGTTCACCTTGGCTAATGAAATACCCGGTAAGCATTAAGGAACGGTATACGTGTACACCGCTGCATTTTCTTAAATAACCTCAAAAAATAATATATATAATTTCCCTCAAAAAAAGCGGAATAAAGTGAACAAAATCCCGAGAGTTCAGCCGGGAAAATTGCAAGGTGCAAATCGCATGAAATTACCGCAAAGAACTGGCGACCCAAAATGTCTTTTGCCGCCGTTGCGCCATGCCTGGCCAGAAACGAAAGCGATTGTGCAAGTGGTTGTGTGAGCCGCTGAGTTTTTGGCCAGAGGGAAGTGCGGCGGGGTCCAAAAACAAAACCCAAACAAGGCCCGAATCTTGCACACGTATACGTACAGAATGTGCCCATGTGCGCTGCTGCTGTGCGTGTGTGCACCTCATTTCCGGGCATTGTTTTCGTCCCGAACACGAGGCAGGCAGGTGCCTTGCAGCCTGGTGGGGCTAGGTCCTGTGGCAGGACCTGAATTTGGCACACTTGGGAAAATAATTGAATGTTTCGGTGGAAACTTAAATAATTTTGTAAGAGTCAATGTGTTAGGGAAACTTTCAGGTCATATTGTGTTATAGCATTTCCTTTACTTTAATAAATATATTTCTTTCAGTGTCTGACTGCCTCTGCTGCAACTTCTGGTTCTGGGTGCTGTTCTCAATGCCATTCTCGTTGCCGTAGTCGTGCCCGTTCTACTTCCTGTTGTCGTTTGGCTGCTGTTTTCACGTTATGAGCTACTTGTTGTCCCGGTACCACTCTGTCTTTGCCCCCATCCCCAGGACACACTCACACACAGAGACACTCTGGCACAGGATCCATAGGCCTGCGTGTGTGTGTGTGTGTGTGACATGTTTACATAAAGTCCTTTACCGCTTCTAATGCATTATGGCAACAACACGAACGCCACTCGACGCTGCTTGCTTGCTTGTATTTATCGTATGTGCCTCTGCCTCGGCTGCCTCGGCTAGTTGAATGCGACAAGCGGCAACACAGCAGAGGCACCGGCACAGGTGAAAATTTCACAGATACAGACACGGGCGAGAGAGACCAACAAAGACACACACATAAACAATCTCACGCTGCCGCATAAATATTTGCATACGATATTTATTATGCTAAAAATAAGCCAAGATTTAAAAAGCGACGACGTCGCAGCCGGCAAAATAAGGCCAACTTGGCTAAGAGGGGAGAAACAGGCGCATAATGAAGGCGAGCCGGGAAAAAGAAAAATGAGAAAAAAACAAATGTCATGACGACTCTCACTCTGGCAGCCTTCACACCTTTGCATTTTCGCAATCCGCCATTCGCCATTCGCTATTCCCCCTTTTGTGGCACCGGAAGTGGGTCACGTATGCACCTTAGTCTCCCCGGGCAAGACAAAGCGAAGCTGCCTGTAATTAAGCCCCGTTTCCAAATGGGCTCGGCAAGTGCCAGAGCCGGATGTGAGTTCTAAGGAACGGCAGTGGGTTTCTCAGGCCACCTGGCAAATTAACTTAAATTTTAAAAGCTTAATTCAGTTTGCCAGAGCCGTAAGCGGCGCCTAAGTCGCCTGTAATGCGTTTAGCAATTGGCAAAGCATTTGCATGCTTTTAGCCGCACGCCGCATCCAAACGAAAAGGAAAGGAGCAGCAGAAGAAAGAAGACTCCCCCCTCCTCAAAAAGGGAAAACAAAGGCTCAGGATGAAATGTGCCAGGCTGGTAAATCCATTTTACCGACAAGGGCCGCCCACTGGATGCGGATGCCTGACTAGCTATGTAGCTGCCAGACTGGCATTCTGGCTGTGCGTGTAACAAGTGCCACTCAAAAGGCCGGCCGGGAAACAATGAAGGCGAAAAGCGAAAAGCAAAAAGCACTTAATAGGCTGCCACGGTGCCGTTGACATGGCCATTTATATGCCGCAACTTGGCAACGTTTTTAATTCATAATGCACGACAGGAATGGCGGTTGGAGCTGTGACGTGGCCCCTGCCTGGGAACAGGAACAGGATGTTGACTGCCGCCGGCAAACTTTGCGACACTCGCCTCTAATCCGAGCAGGATGCTGTCCGCCAGCTGAGTGTTGCCTGTCACCGCGGTTTCATCTCATCTCATCTCATCTCTCCTGCGCTGTCAGGGCATTGAATGTCAGATTCTGTCCTGTTGGATTTCTCTGGTTCAATAGCTAAAATTGATTTCATTTTCATATCAGATCCTCAGATCAATCTCTGTTTATCGACCCCGCCAGCAAAGTGTCGGTTTAATGTGGATTCGAAAATCGGAATATAAATATTTAACAAATACCTGTGATAGTCTGACGACTGATTCGAAACTTAATTAATAAACTTAGAGACCTGTTTATCATTCAATTTCAGGGAATTTCAAGGCAGAGAAAGCCCTTCTTTTCAGAGTAACTGAAAAGGCCTCCGTAATGAGAGGTTCTAAGTAAGCCGGGCCTGAATGACCAGTGACCATTTTATTCTCAAACATTCTTCTATTGGCTTGAAGTTCTCTTGTGCCAACTCGTTTTTTTGTTTGCTCTTTAAATTGGGACATCGATACGTATACGTAATATCACTTATAAATAGCCTAACAACAGGCCCCCATACGTATTGATGTGCAGCTAATGCGACCCCAGAGGATGACTGGCCGGCAGTAGCAACAGTGGCACTATTGGAGCACCAGCAGGACCAGGAGCTGGAGCGCTAACGAGCTGTGCCTTGGCTGCAATTGTTGCCAGAGCTGAATGCCAAAGCAAATAGCAGCTGAGGGGCAACTGAAACTAAAGTCAAATGCAGCAAAAAAGAATTGTAAAAAACGAGGCAGCAGCGGCAGCATGGTCCGTACAACAAATGGCAAGTTTTGTCGGCGCCAGGGACACCAAAAAGGGGGAGGGGAAGGGGGAGCCGTGGGCGGCAGCAACCAAATCAGAAAATCCGATTTGCATGGATTTGTTGGTTTCTTTTGTTGCCGTCGAGTATCCTTGCCACTGACGCCAATGCTATGTTGCCGCTATTATGCTGCACAGAATTGTTGCTGTTGACTTTGTTATTTTTTCTTAATGTCTGCTCAATGAAAAAAAAACGGCTCTGCCGAGCGAATCTCCCCATCCTGTGGCACTCCTTCACCACCACTGGCATCGCCTTCGGTGCCCGCTGAATTCTGTTTTGTTTGTTTGTTTGTTTGTTTCTGCTAAATTGTGTTTTCCCTGTTCATTCATTCGTTTGGCTTTCCCATCCGTTTTCTGCTTCTGCTTTCAGCTGCTGCAGAATTTTTCAGTGATTTTACATGTAAGCATCCTTGTGAGCTCTGTGGCATGTCCACAATTGAGGCAACCACTACGAACGGTTGCCAGGACAAGCTGGCCCTCACCTCCGTCCGTCCGGATACCCTGATGTCTCCTCCTCGCCATTGTCCATCTCGAAGTCCTGTCCGATTTTATATGTTTACCCCGCTTACAATTTGGTCCACTGTTTCTCCCTTTTGTACAACCGGAATTGAACGAGTCTGAGGGTATATTGTATACGTAAAGATAAAGACATTCTGCTAAACATATTTAGTATAGTACCCCAAAAAATCACAAATCCTACAGTGTTTTTTGACTTAGTCTAAGAATCGATCGAGATCTTTATAAATAATATCTTTCGATTTCCGACAAACTGATGAAAATATAAGCGAAATTATAGCTTACTTTCAAGGAGGTATTCTTGCGTCTATTCCCCTATAATAACTACATTTTTTCCACACTATTCAAAGGGCAATTCCCGTGGAGTAAGCGTCAACGGAGTTGTCGTTTTGGACTGCGACATCCACCGATAGACGGGGGAGTCGGAGAGCCCACCTTCAGATCCATGTATGACTTCCGTTTCTCTCCTTCTCCACTTGCCAATTGTTCGATTCTATTGCACACTGTTGCTCACAGGGACGGACTGCTTGTGCGAGTGTGTTTGTGTGTCCTACAAGGATTTCCCATGTACAATAACGTAATCTACATAATTTTCTTTCAGTTTGGTTCTTCTCTCATGTCTCCCATGTCAACATATCCCACACCGTTTTTCAATTTTTGTGGCCAGCATTTGACTTTGGTTTGTCCTTGCTGCAG